CCCCCCCGGGGGGGGAGCAGCCGTAGCCCAGGAGCAAGCCAGCCCTCACTGGGTTTCATGTGTTTCAGAAAAGCAGCATCTGCTACCTGTCCTTTCCTGACTCCCACTCAGGTAGGTGACTCCAACTCTCCTGGCTCTGGGGCTGGGGGGTGAGAAGAAGATGGGGAGCTGAGGCTGTCTAGGAGCCCCCGTGGCCCAGGTCAGCCATGTCACTGCCTGTAACTGCCAGCCCCCTCCTTGCTCTGTGGAGACACCCAGAGCCCCACGATGCAGCAGAGGCAGCCAGGCTCCCCTTATTTGTGTGGAAGGATGACCATCAGGATCTGGCTCTGCTCCTCCCTGGCTCTCAGGTGCTAGGCAGGCTGAGCCCTCACACTGCGGCCTCCAGGCTGCCCCCCACCCTGCCCCATGTTTGGACAGTGGGTGCTACCGATGCGTCTGTGTTCAGACTTGACTCTGAAACTCTCAGGTGCAGGAGTTAGGACACAGGAGCTTCTGTTGGGAGAACCAGGCCCAGCAAATGGGGTTTTCTCTCTGGGGCCTTCATAGCCCATCAGAAGTCAACCCCCATGCCGTCCTGGCTGTCCCCACCCCACACATGGTGGCAGGAGCGGCTCCAGTCCTGACATGAAGTGGTGGGGGCTGCCTCCTTCCCCAGGCTGCCTTGGGGACACGCAGTTCAGCTTCCGTATTCGTCAGTGTGGAGGGCAGAGGAGCCCCTGGCCCTCTGATGACAGGCACTACAACAGCGAGGCCCCCCTGTCACTGCAGGTGAGTAAGGCTTCTCTCCAGCCTGCTCCGGCCTCCTTGGCCCACAGGCCAGGGTCAAGCTGGTATGTCAGTCCCTTCAAGTGCCTGGGCCTGTGAGGCAGGAGAGGCCTGGCCAGCCCCAGCCTTGATAGGGGTGGGCCAGCTCTTCTGGGGACTTCCCAGGGTCCCTGGAGCTCTTCCTGTCCACCATAGGTACAGCAGGGAGTGGCTTGGTGTGCAGAGGCTCCTGGGCTGCTCCCCACTGTGTCTGCAGAGATGCTCCCTCTAGAGGTGTTGCCCACCTTCTGAGTTGAGGCTGCCCAGCCCTGACCCCAGGACTGGGGAGAGCAGAGCATGGAGCAGCCTCTGCAGGGTGGCCTGGGTGGTTAGAAGGAGCATGGTGAGTGGGTGCAGCCTGGCTGACTGCTTCTTCCAGAGGGAGTCGGCACACTACTTTGGCTATGTGTACTTCAGGCAGGTGAAGGACAGCTCCGTGAAGAGGGGCTATTTCCAGAAGGTGAGCCACCCACGCGGCCTCTCTGAGGTGGCACTGCTGAGAGGCAGGGGCCAGTGGCCATGGGAGGGGCTGAGGGGCCAGGGGTCCTGAGCTTCCAGGAGTGCCCCTTCTGCAGCTACTTGGCACCTGGGCAGCAGGCAGGGGGTGGGAGTGCCCAGCTCTTGCTGCAGCCCCTCCGGGGAGCAGGTCCTGCTGCCCCTTCCTTGCCCAGCAGAGCACCCTGGGCCTCAGACACCCCTGCTTCTTGCTGCTGGCTAGAGTGGGGGCTGGTCACACTTCCAGGATTAGGACAACTTCAGCCTTGAACGCAGACACCTAGAGAAACCTTGGCCACATGCATTTCCTTCTGAAGGCCTGGGGCCCAGCCCCGTCCCAATGTCATTAGGGTTTCCCTCCCTGTCTGGGGAAGGCTTTAGTTTTCTCATCTAATAGCCCTGAGGTCTGAGCTGGGCCATCCTGGGGACAGCTGTCTTGTGGAGTTGGTGGAGCGCATGGCCCTGGGTAGACTCTGGATGAGCCAGGCCTCAGGGGTCCCTGCAGACTCTTGAGTGGCCGGATGACATCTCACCGACCCCACGGGCCCTGCAGTCTCTGGTGCTGGTGTCCCGCCTGCCCTTCATCCGGCTGTTCCAAACCCTGCTGGGCCTGATCGCCCCCGAGTACTTTGACAAGCTAGCACCCTGCCTAGAAGCAGGTGAGCGGCCATTAGGCCAGCCAGAGAGGTCTCACTGTCCAGCTGTAACACCCAGTGGCTTTGGCAGGCAGCTTCCACGTGGGGCAGGCTCCTGACAGACCCCATATGTCCACAGTGTGCAATGAGATTGACCAGTGGCCAGCCCCGGTGCCTGGGCAGACCCTGAACCTGCCTGTCGTGGGAGTCGTCCTCCAGGTGAGGGTTGGCTGGCTGGGGCGGGAACGCAACAAGTGCATGGAGGTACCCACTGCTGGCTGGCAGCTGCTCCTTCCATCCCCCAGGTGCACGTCCCATCCAGGGCAGAAAAGCCTGAATCCAGTCCTCTGAAGCAGTGCGACCAAGAGGTGGGAGTCCCCTCCTGGGCTAGGGGCACTGTACCTGCATCAACCCTCCCACCTGCCTGGGCCTCCCCACCCCAAATGCTGGGAGCCCTGTGGGGTGGCCAGACACCAGGCAAAGCCAAGGACTTGCGTCTAGGTGCAGGGCTGGGTACGCCCCCCTTCTGTGCTGTGGGGGGTGAGGATGGGGAGGTGTGTGGGCCAGGGCTGCAGTCCCCAGGGCTCTCCTGGGGTAAGAGGTGCTGCTTGGGGCTCATAGGGTGGTGGTCTCGCCCTCAGCCTGATGCCACACACTTCTCCTTTCAGAACCTGCTGCCAGCCCCGATGGTCCTCAGTAGTGTCCATGAGCTGGACCTGTTCAGGTGAGCCCTGTAGGCCAGCTGCTCACTGCCTGGGTAGACCATGAGCGAGTCCACAAAGCTCAGGCCTGGGCAGGGTGGGGGCCGTTGGGGCTGCTGGAATGAACCCTTGGCCAGTTCTGTGAGGGAAAATTGTACAGAAGAGGAACCCAGTGCCTGCTGTCTGCACCCAAGAGGAAATGGTCACAGTGGGCAGGAAGGTTCCAGAAGGCAGGTGCAAGGAGGGAGGGCTGTGTTGGGAGGCAGTGGCTGCCTGAGGCTGCCTCTCTCTGGGCGAGTCTTTGAGCGAGCCAGGCTTTGGAGATCGTCCTGCCCTGGCTGGGCCCTGAAGGATCTAGGGCTGCCAGCTCAGGCATGGGGGTGCAGGACCAGGACAACGTGGGTGGACCGTCAGAGCATCGGTAGGCCTTGCATACCCTCGGCATCTCCAAACCATCTTACCACTGGGGAGAGGTGCATTCACCCAGAGAGCCCTCCTGGGCCCTGGGGGGAGCCTCGGGCTTTGCGCAGCCTCCCCGACCTCCCTGACCTCTCCTGCCCAGCTGCTTGCAGCCCGTGCTGACCCACGTGCAGACACTGTGGGAGCTCATGCTCCTGGGGGAGCCCCTGGTGGTGCTGGCGCCCTCGCCCACCGTGTCCTCGGAGATGGTGCTGGCCTTGACCAGGTAGGCCGGAGCAGTGCGCGGGCGTCGGGGCCCTGGGCCTGCCCTGCTGCGCTCATGGGCCTGCTGCCCACTC